GGAGTAATCCTCCACCCCTATTAAATTAAATGTTTCTGCCCCCCCTTTCTTTAATTTCTAAGGTTTAAGTTAAAGGTCACCTATTATGCAAAATCCACTTTTTCATGTCTTTTATACATCAACATTTGTCCCCTCTGTGTAAAGAGATTCTGAAAGTTTCAGGAAAAAAGAGCCCCTCTCTTTTTCTCCTGATCCATTTATAGAAAAACCTGTCTGAAAATGAGCTGATCAGATTTTGGCCACTTTATGATGTCATAACGATTTGTTGGCTTGTGTAACCATTAGCCAATCACCAACCAAGGTAACCCCCCCCCACCTTATCACCTGAATCTGACAGATGTGTGACGCTCAGTGAGACAGATGTGTGACGCTCAGTGAGACAGATGTGTGACGCTCAGTGAGACAGATGTGTGACGCTCAGTGAGACAGATGTGTGACGCTCAGTGAGACAGATGTGTGACGCTCTGTGAGACAGATGTGTGACGCTCTGTGAGACAGATGTGTGACACTCTGTGAGACAGATGTGTGACGCTCTGTGAGACAGATGTGTGACGCTCAGTGAGACAGATGTGTGACGCTCTGTGAGACAGATGTGTGACGCTCTGTGAGACAGATGTGTGACTCTCTGTGAGACAGATGTGTGACGCTCAGTGAGACAGATGTGTGACGCTCTGTGAGACAGATGTGTGACCCTCAGTGAGACAGATGTGTGACCCTCAGTGAGACAGATGCGTGACGCTCAGTGAGACAGATGCGTGACCCTCAGTGAGACAGATGCGTGACCCTCAGTGAGACAGATGCGTGACGCTCAGTGAGACAGATGTGTGACCCTCAGTGAGACAGATGTGTGACGCTCTGTGAGACAGATGTGTGACGCTCAGTGAGACAGATGTGTGACGCTCTGTGAGACAGATCTGTGACTCTCTGTGAGTCTGCGATTAACGCATGTGTATTTGTCCTCGGCCCGCCCGTAGTTTCAGTGCCCAAAGGCTTAACGTTGTTGTTGTTGTTAGTTGGATGGTGGGAGATTCTAGCGAGAAAAAGGTGTTTTAAACCGCAAGCCAAGCACACAGCTGATGCTGACAGCCCCGATCCTGGTGCTCGCTTGCGGCAGACCACGCTTGAAAGTTTGCCGGGGAGACGCCTGGACACGGCGTCTACGAGCAGCAAGCTTTCAACAGCGATAGCTAAATCAAATCAAATCAAGTTTTATTTATATAGCACATTTTTAAACGATTTTTGGTCGAGCCAAAGTGCTGTACATATAATAAAAATACCCTACAGTAAAGACACTTTACAGCAAATACAACAGCACAGTTTGTGCAGAATATCAGTATGAGAAGATAAAATGGGTGGCGGTGGCGACAGCTTGCAGGCCAATTAACATTGTGGAGGACGAGGGACTGTGTGAGATAATTCGGATCCCATCCAACGTGTTGACTGCACATCACAGCGCATTATTTTGACCCACAGTGGGAACTTCAGTCTCATGCTTTGACTGTTATGAAGACAGAGGAGCGGCATTTCGCCGACAACTGTAAACAGGCTTGTCTGTTTGAGCAACTGGCTCAGTGCAGAGAAGTAGACAGGGTTGGGAGAGAATGTAAGAGAGAGAGAGAGAGGTTCCAGGTTGTTGTATTGAAAATATTCAGGAGATTTGTCATTGTTCAGAGGTTTTTGTGTTGAGAATATTCAGGAGAATATTTGTCATTGTTCAAATGATAATAAACAAACATTTGCATAAAGCATATTTGTCCACTCATAAGTTGATAAGAGTATTAAAAACTTGAAAAATATTCCTCTAAGGTACATTTAGAACAGATAAAAATGTGCGATTAATTTGCGATTAATCGGGTTAACTATGGTCATCATGCGATTAATCGCGATTAAATATTTGAATCGACTGACAGCCCTAGTTTTGGACAATGATGCCCAGAGGATGAGAATATATTAGATATGATTCTCCCTATACTCGTTAGTAGATTATATATTTATTGTTGGGTCAACCCATCAGTCTATCATCACTGTTCAGTTTGACAATTATTTTGCCCCATGTCTTAAATAAATCAATATCCATTACCATTTATAGAATAAAAAACTCCAAACAAATCCTTGACCATCATATTGTGTCAAATATGCAACAAAACGTTTATGCATTGGTACTAATCACACCTTTTTTATTGTCTTTAGGAAATCTAATTGGGGAATGTTTGATAATATAATTTTTTGGGGCAATTTCACAAATAAGAGCAGGTGACTTGTTCAGGAGGATATTATTGTGGTAACAGTTGCAGAAGGATATGAGAAGGAGACCAACAAGAGAGGCAGACCGTCAGCCACAGAGAGGTTACATAAACAAAAAGTCTCCCCATTTACTGCATGTACAGTAAAACTCTATACATATATGTGCAGCTTTTTTGTAAGAGATCAATCCTTTTTGAACAAAACAGTCTCATTACACATTATTCAATAGCACTATATTCTCCCCAACACTTCATCGTTGAATCCAGAGCCTTTAATGTTGCATTACTCATACATTATATCACTTAACTCCTACTATCTCACTGAGTGGGATTATGACATTGGATTACAAAAATATAATGTAACCATTGTAAATAGAATCTTCTCAAAATACATTTGTGATTTACTACTACCGGCTCAATTCGGATTAATGGTTTTACCATATACATTTGGAACATATTGCAGGGTGGATGCAGTTATAAATCAAACATATTCCAAAATACTTTTCAGCTCTATTAAACAAATACACACTTTTTATGAGCAGCTCAAATAAAAGTCACATTTCTGACTGTTGTGTTCATCAGCTGCAGGCGTTCATTTGGGTGTCCTTAGTTAAAAATGTACCATGGAATAAATAAACTTTTACTTGAAATTGTAGTGTACGAGCTATCCTGAGTGTTGGTCCAAAAACACAAGATTCTTTATTTCCCATAACGCTAGCGATAGCATCTTTTAGTTGGAAGTAATCATTTTCCATGTAATCTTCACCTATGCAGTTTATAACACCGTTTTGTAGTCATGGATGTGAGGTCTCCAATTCCACAATGAGATAACCCTGATGACATCACTATGACAGCAGGGTTATCTTTAGAATATGTTTTTGGGACAGCACTAAACGATTTCTATTTCAAAATGTCAATTATTCTTTTTTCAATTCTGTCAGTTTCATTTTTCAGCATTGGAGGTCGGCTATTGTGAACAACACATGCCAACATCGCCCCCTCAGGCAGACAGTGGGACAGCGACCTGATGCACTGCCACGTCAGGGTCATTTTTATGACTGTATTTCATCTTTTTACCAGAACTGCTCGGACAGAGGATTTTACGGCTTTATGAGTTGGTCATGCTTTCTGTACAAAGCAGAAAAAGCACCTGACACTATGCTCTGGTCCTCATGAGGCGCTTTCAAACCAAGTACTTTTCCCAGGAATAGTTCCCGGAACTTAGTTCCCCGGAAATCTTTAGTTCCGGAACTATCTAGAAGATCGCGTTCACACCGGAATAAGTCCCTGAGGGAGGATTACGCAAATGAAGCCGCTGACGTCACTTCTTCTTCTTCTGCTTTGGGTTTACTGGCAGGCCATAAACAACTTCACGGCGTATACTGCCACCCGAAGTCCCCGGCCGGAAGTCCCCGGAGATGGGGACTGGCTTCAGTAGAAGCTGCTGGGAGTCCCAGCAGCTTCTACTGAAGCCTTCCGAGTAAATCGCCAGAACGCCGACACCTCCTCATCACTCCACCGCTCCCATGTTTTCTTTTGTGTTGCCATAAGTTAGTCTCTCTCCGTTGGTGTGCTGGGCTAATGCTAATGCTAATAATGCTAATGCGAGCAAATAAAATGGCGGCTTCACAAACACTTTTCGGCGTTTTACGGGGCGTGGTTTGCAATTCGCCCAGCCAATCAGAAATTGGAACCTTTTCCACCTCTCTAGCAGGGACTGAAAAGGGGTGAAAAGGTTCCCGAGAACTAAGTTCTAGTTCCAGATCTTTTTGGTGTGAACGCAAAATCCCAGGAACTACCGGAACTATTCCTGGGAAAAGTACTCCGGTGTGAATGCGCCTATGGTGTGTATACACCTAAGTGATTCTGATAGAAGACCCAGGCTGAGTTTGCTGTACAGTGCTTTAGCAGAGTCTCAGTCCCCATCATTCATATGTGACCTTCATTGACCTCCACTGTGTAGGTGGATGTGGTTTCATTTAAAACATGGAACATCCTGCACTGCAAGCTATTTGTAGTATACATAAAATAAATTAGGAGTAATGTAGTATAGAATATTGGGAAATATGAAATGATCTTCTATCTTAAACAATTTTATGTTATAAAAAGTTTTATAGAGTAAGTTCATTCTACACTATATACAAACTAACATACCATTGAGCATTAGCATCCACCTTATTTGGAGATAAAACACCCCTGCAATGTCAGTACTACAGCAACTGTTGTCCAGTGGAAGGATGTTTGGTCGTTGGTTTTGGTGTGCTCACTTCTGGTTGTACCTCCAAATAAAGTAGTGCTTTTCTGACTTTTCTGTTTACTTTCAACATGTTCAACATGTCTGGGAGAGTTTGTTTCTGTTCAAAGGTCATAGTATTCATTGTGGGAGTTTCAGTATAGCAGTAGAGTTTAGTGACATTGATGATTGATAAAATAATATAATATAATATATAATATCATATAATATAATATCACAAAACATAATATAAAATAACATATAATAACTGTATGATATAATAACTGTTTTCAATATTAGTTGCTGTGGCAACCACACTATCAAGTCTAATTCAGTCCTTCTGGTGAAACAAACAATAAAACTTAGTGTTTGAAAACTATGACTTATGACATATGACTATTCGCCAATATTAATGTAATATCATTTTCCAAAATGAAATTGTGCAAATTGCTGTAGAGTGCAATAAACTAAAAGCTTTCCACCAAACCTTTTCCCTGAAATCAAACTGATAACATCATGTTGAAACTCAAAGCAGTAAAACGGTGTCTTTCTAAAGTGCAAAGTCCTCATACTAGAGTCCTGGATCCACTACCAAGACGTCGATGTGGTCCTTCTCTTTGGTCTTGAAGGCCTCAGTGATGATCTGAGCAGCATCTTTGTGCTCCCGCCCTCTCAGGGACACGCCGTCCACCTCCAGGATGACCTGACCCTCCTTCAGCTGCGCACAGTTATCAGCTGAGCCTCCTTTCTGTTCACAGAGATATTAAGGGGAGGGGGGGGGGGGGGGAGGCCAACAATCATTTGATATAATTAGATCAATATCTCCATTTAATGACAGTTGAGTGTTTTTGTTGATGTTATACTAACTGTTGTAGCGACTATCAAATAAAAAAGGATTTAGCCGCTGGATAATGAAGGGTGATCTGTCTGACCAGCTGTATTCATACTGAACAGATATAGTCTGGAGTTGCATACAATTCCATTTATTGTAAATATTGTAAATTGTCTTGCGATGTTGTCAACAACAATTGGGGCTCCCTATATTCTCCAACCAATAAAACTAATAATTGACAGCTGGCCGGATTCCTCCATTGCATACACATACACCTCCTCATTAACCAACAGTGACAACTCATAATACATTCCTTGCAACATATATATAACTAGAAAATTCCAGGAAATGTTGACTGTGTGACTGAAACTTGGGTGCGCGTCCCGATGATAACATTACACCCACTGAGTAAGTATTAATAGCATTAGTTGTATTGTTAAGTACAACAAAGAATATCCATTAATTTTAGCTCAATTTTAGCTGACTATTTTAACTGTTTATCTATTACATTTTTGGATTATTGTACCACATTCCTGCATCGTTTCTGAACATCTTTAGATTACCACTGGATTTAGTTAACGTTTTTGAGCTCTGTTCAAATGGATTTCCCATTCATTCCTATGGGGCAAATGATCGCAGTTTTATGCAATTTGCGTGAAAACGGCTAGGTGAATCTCTTATAAAAGACATAGCAACCTGATCCCGGTCATTCCGCACGTTTTGATGTGTTTTTTGTGAGTTTCATGTCAACACTGTAACGAGTAACATGACAACATTTGTGGCGGAAGAAGGAGAATAAGATGAGACTAGAAAATGCATTTCCTGCTGAAAATGCGTGCGAATGCGGCAAACTGTGTACATTTGTTGCTGAATTTAGCTGAAAAAGCAGAATATTTTATTAGCTGAATGGTAGCTGCTTTTAGCTACAAAACCCAAGTCAGTGTGTTGCTGAACTTAGCAGAGAAATGCAGAAAAGTGAAATGATTTGACTCAAAATTGTTACAGCTCAAATGCATTGCAATGAATTTGTTGAAAACTTGAAAGTGAAATGTTAAACTGGAAGAGTAGGAAAAATAGTGAAGAAGCTTAATATTTAAAAGAAAAGGTTTAAAAAAGGTATAAACAACAACATGTATAGCCTCAATGTCCTGAAATAGCTGAATAAGTTAATAGTTGAATGGTTTCTGTAGCTGAAAGTAGGCTGAAGGAGTTAGATATTAAATGTAAGTAGTAGTGAATGAATGTGTATTAAGAAGAGAAAAGAAAGTAAAAATGCTTTGAAAAGCAGCATGTGCTGAAAAGGCTGAATAGTTTGATATTTGAATGGTTTCTGTAGCTGAAAGTATGCTGAAGTTATTGAGAGCCAAACTTTTTGTTGAAATAATAATAAGAAGAAAAAGATGCGGAAGAATAAAGAAAAGAAGAACTATAGTGGAATGCTGTAAACAGCATTCGCACTAATAAGTATGTCGAATACTAGACTGTGTGTGGCTTCGCCAGTCACACAGAAATATAAAAACATGCAGATTGAATATTTATTTTTGGGTATTTAGGACTAATGACGTCATCCATCAATCAAATTTATCTTGCAAATCACGTATTCCAGAAGTTCCTCTCCACAGAGGCTGAAGTTGTTTTCAGGCCAGGTGAGATAATAATCCTTCCAGCGAGTTCTGGGTAATGAGTGAACGTGCCAAATGTATCAAAGGGACACACTGGCATGCAATTGATTTCTATCAACACGTAATGTTGTATCGATGTATATAGAGGTGTACTACCGCAAAAGTATTCTCCGTTGGGACTTCCTGCAACAACACCACGCCGTTATCGTGATTCTGATTGGCCAGAAGACATTATCAAAGATGTTTTATTGAGAGGACGATCACTACGTGACAAAAGTTTTCAAAACCGTTTCTAGTCTTCGGTATTTCCAGACAAGTGGCTACTGAAATCAATCTTACTAACTGCTGTCTGTGCAATTTACTCCACCGAGTTGGCGGACTTTATTTTACTTACTTTAACATCATTTTTCATGGTGGGGCTAAGGTGGGGCTAAGACATTTCTTGGTATGGCTGTAGCCTACCCTGGCGCCGCCACTGGGTGGCGGTAATGTACCATTATGCTGAATGCCAACCGCCGTAAAACTCCAAGAAGAAGAGGAAGAAGAGAGCAGCCATTAGAGTCGCTACATGAGCAGCAACAGGTTTCTCCTGTTTTAGAGGTATATTTTAGTAGGAATGCTGATACAGCATTCCAACTATATGTTATTCTACGGACAAAATTATTATTATTCCGCCGGAATTTTGCACCTCTTCTCCTCCTGCATTCAACATCGCAGAAACTCCGTTCAAACATCAAAACGTTCAGCTCGGTCGGGAATCGATGGCTATTACTTTTATCATTCATAACTTTCATAATTCCAGAGATACATCCCATAATTCATCACATTTTTTAACCATTGAAGTCAATGGAGAAAATCTTCAGACTTGAACAATCTTCATGCGACTTCAACTGCTAACTGTTCATTCATACTTTCACTCAGAAACCTCATTCCAACTTTAAATGTTACACATATTTCTGACATTATTCGTGTAACACAACTTTTAAATCTGATTTTTACTTTTAGAGATATTAAACATTGTTCAGACCTTGTTAAAGAGGTTTTCTTCAGATTTTAACATTAACTAGAGTGCGTGATGTTACAGCTAGAGTGGAGGAAATCTTGAAATTTGCCTTCATATCTTTTTTTTAAACTGCCATAATTCCCAAACCCTACATTCCTGAGACATAATTTTTCATGACAAACGTAGGAAAACATCTCGTAGCTTGGAAAATGACAAATAATTAAGCAAAAAATAATTAAACAAAATGCCTCTTGAGGGTGACAAAAACTTTCAACATGTCTCCATTAAAACCCATTGTAATTTCAGGCTGATATTTCCTCACAGCAGCAGCCGCACACCTTTAGTTAAACTGCCAAAATGGCCACATTATTAACCCATTATTAACCCAAAATATGTTATTCTACGGACAAAATTATTATTATTCCGCCGGAATTTTGCACCTCTTCTCCTCCTGCATTCAACATCGCAGAAACTCCGTTCAAACATCAAAACGTTCAGCTCGGTCGGGAATCGATGGCTATTACTTTTATCATTCATAACTTTCATAATTCCAGAGATACATCCCATAATTCATCACATTTTTAACCATTGAAGTCAATGGAGAAAATCTTCAGACTTGAACAATCTTCATGCGACTTCAACTGCTAACTGTTCATTCATACTTTCACTCAGAAACCTCATTCCAACTTTAAAATGTTACACATATTTCTGACATTATTCGTGTAACACAACTTTTAAATCTGATTTTTACTTTTAGAGATATTAAACATTGTTCAGACCTTGTTAAAGAGGTTTTCTTCAGATTTTAACATTAACTAGAGTGCGTGATGTTACAGCTAGAGTGGAGGAAATCTTGAAATTTGCCTTCATATCTTTTTTTTAAACTGCCATAATTCCCAAACCCTACATTCCTGAGACATAATTTTTCATGACAAACGTAGGAAAACATCTCGTAGCTTGGAAAATGACAAATAATTAAGCAAAAAATAATTAAACAAAATGCCTCTTGAGGGTGACAAAAACTTTCAACATGTCTCCATTAAAACCCATTGTAATTTCAGGCTGATATTTCCTCACAGCAGCAGCCGCACACCTTTAGTTAAACTGCCAAAAAGGCCACATTATTAACCCAAAGGTACTCAAAAATTACACTTCAGATACTCAACTTCCTTGACATGCTTCACGTTTTGAAATTTCACAGATATCTGTTATCGTTCTTCCACAAAACGTTCACAAGTAAGAGGTTCATCTCTCATTCAGAACAATGAAACCTTTGAAGTCTAGGCACCTCGTTAGCTCAACTATAAACACCTGTGCAATGGAACACGATGATGTCATCACTCCAACTGACAGCAGTCAGTTCTAACTGTTCATTTCATACTCACACACACACACTCTCTCTCTCTCTCTCTCAAACACACAGACTCTCTCTCTCTCTCTCTCTCTCTCTCAAACACACAGACTCTCTCTCTCTCTCTCTCTCTCTGACACACACAGACACACACACTCTCTCTCTCTCTCTCTCACACATAATGTTCCAAACGGCCCAAAACTTCACAGGTTTGGTAACGATGCAGCAATCAACGCATCTAAGCGTATTAGTCCAATGGACACGGTCCAATCGTCCCCCAATCTTCACTTGTATATCACCGGTCCATGCCTCAACAGCTCTACGCCAAATCTGAAATCTCACCATATGCCGTTTCCATGGAAACGCATCCCTCGCCATAAAACACGATGTCCCTTTAACTCCTATGAAAATGTTCAAAAAGTGCTTAAAATTCACATGTGTGCTAACAGTCCAGCCGTGAAGACATCTACGAGACAATTTTGAGATTTCTTCCAATGCCGTTGCCATGGCAACACAATGCTCGCCATGAAACACGGTTTTCTCATAACCTCAGTGAAAAGGCTTAAAACGGCCCAAGACTTCACAGGTTTGGTAACGATGCAGCCATCAATGCATCTAAGCGTATTATGGGGTGTCATCAAATGCCGTTGCCATGGCGACAGACCACTCGCCATGAAGCACGATGTCGCTGTAAGTCCAATGGAAACGGTCCGATCGTCCCCCAAACTTCGCTTGTATATCACCGGTCCAGCCCTCAACAGCTCTACGTCAATTATGGGGTTTCTTCAAATGCCGTTGCCATGGTAACACAAGGTTCGCCATGAAACACGGTTTTCTCATAACTTCAGTGAAAATGTTCTAAACGGCCCAAAACTTCACAGGTTTGGTAACGATGCAGCCATCAACGCATCTAAGCATATTATGGGGTGTCATCAAATGCCGTTGCCATGGCGACAGATCATTCACCATCAAGTTAGTTCAAAAGTTTGCAGTTCAAATATTCTGCTGCTTTTCCAAGCCTTTTTACTTTCTTTTCTTCACTCATCACACATTCAAGCCCCCAGTGTTCATGTATAATTTCAATCTAAATTCTTCACTTTCTTCTTACACATTACATTTCAGCATAGCAGTTTAGCGTCAGCTTTTCAGCATAAAGCATTCCCACTAGCAATTTCTTCAGGAATTGCATTCTCTAGTATTAAAATGCGCCCCTGCATAGCGGGGCCTGTTACAGTTAAAAATAAAGAGGATTCCTCCACAACCACCACTATTAACAACCAGTTAATAAATATTTCCTTTCTTGAGATGTTTTTCTCTGTGCTGTAAACATGGTTGGTGCATAGCCACTACATCCATCAAGAAGGGTGGGATTTTTCGGGGTGGGATCGTAAAACACACCTCAATGGTCAGAGAAACTAAACCAAAGGGGATGCGGAAAAAAAGACAACCAACCAACAGTTGTCTGATTAGACCTTAAAACTGCTTATTGATCTGTTCCACATGACCTTAATCCAAGAAGGACTGGACCACTATTACAGATCATTGGCTATTACAGACATGATCACCAGTTTCTTTTCATAGGAGGTTTCAAACTCAGCGAATTTCACAACCAACTGGAAGGACCTTCAGAAGTCTGACTTGACGTACCATTTAGCCCATATTGCTTTTCAAAGGTAGACACCTCCTAAATGTAGCAGCAGAAGAAAGTGGCCCAGGGTGGGAGAAGGGCATCGTCCAGCCTGCACTGTGAGGGTTCATGGATGAAAGCCTCAGCCAAATGTAATGTAATGAATGTGCTTGGAGGGGGGTTTCATGTATCACTGAAAGATGGAGCCAATGTCAGATATGCTCTGAAGCAGCCTAAAATATGGCTGAAGAAGACCTGGTTTAAATGCAAGACCTGGCTCTTCTTGCAGGCCTTTTGTATTGTCTCTTCATAGATTAAGAGTTCCTAATGACTACTGTTGAGGGGTAGGAGAGGAAAACCAACAAGCACCTGCGCAAATAACTCATTCAGTGATTGTGGCTGATTCACCTCAGCTCATATAAAGGACTGCTGTTTGTAGAGTGTTGTATTTAACAAAGCAGGAAAGCTATCAGAGAGAAATATCAAAAGAAGGGTTTTATTGCTTTTCAATGCTATCTGTGAAGAAAATGCAAGCTATTAATCAGATGCTTATGGAACCTATTTTTTTTTTTTAAAGCAAATAGCAGTATTCTAATGCTCCGAAATCAAGTTTTTCATTCAAATACAGTAGTTTTTAAAGACAATACTGTAAATAAAACAATGGCTTTGAACCCTAAGTCATTGTATAGCTGTCTCACCTGAATTGTGACTATGCGCGGCAAAGGTTGTCGTGTGTTGGCTCCTCCCTCTATAGCCATGCCAAGGGTGTTTGAATTCTTCACCACTCGTACCAAGGTAGCGTTCGGCACTGGGACTGGTGAGCCACACTGCTGGGACACATAGGGAACACAGGTCAGAAGCGACAGCAATTAAGAGCAGGGTCCAACTTCATTTGTTAAATGTGTAAAACCCTTCACCTTTATGCAACATTCAAAAGTTTGTATTATGGATGTGCCTTTTTTTTGTACCTTTCAGGAACCAACAATTTGGAACAACAAGTCCTCCAACTAATACGACCAAATAGGCCGATTTTTCCGACCCATAATACGACCCACAGGAGCGTTTTCAATCAACGGGAGCGTCAGCCTGTCAACCCTGTCTCCTAAAAATTACGTTCCCACAGAACTAAACTGCATTCTCAATTACGTTTAATTAGAAACGTATTTTCTCCCACATTACGTTTGTTATGAACGTATCTCAAATACGTTTATTTTCTACATATCTTCTAGAAACAAATTTTCTCCCACGTTACGTTTGTTATGAACGTATCTTAAATACGGTTATTTTCTACATATCTTTGCCATTTATTGTCTTGCTTATAATGATAGTCATTTAACAAATATCATTTTAGAGCACACATTTTAAATCGAGAATCGGGCTCGATATATGGTTAAATTAAAATCAGTAGGCGAGGCTGTCATTTCGCCAGCTGTTACTCTCATGAGCGAGGCAGAAAATAATAGTATCATGCCAAAAAGCTGCTGTGTCGTTTATTGCACCTCAAACATTAAAACAAATCCAGAGTTACATTTTTCTGTACTTCCTCTAAGAAGAAAGGACAGTAAAAGAAGAGCTCTGTGGCTTCAGGCTTGATCGCCGTTCAAATGACAGCGTTGGTTTCTCCCAAAGTGGGCGGGGCTGTAAAGTGACGTAGATTTTACTCTCATCTATTATTCAAAACCTCCTCCAACACACACAAATGCGCACATGACCAATGAGGGCACGAGATAAGTTTGTGCACAGATGGAAGGCTGACAGGCAGGTAGGCCATCCAGTTATTTTAGCCGGGCTGGCTAAAATGATTGGTTGTACTTTTTACAGTACTACGGCTTCCACAGATGAAATGTTTTTATGGATTTGTTGTCAAAGCACTTAAGATATTCATTGCTATCGGGATGTTAAGAGCATTCTATGGAATATAACAAAAAGTGTATCTCGAGCCGGTTTCTCAAACTTACCTACCCTACCTTTAACTGGGAATGTTTTTACGGGAACAATACCGGAAACAGACGTAGGAAAGATCCTCAGCTCGGTGATTGGATTGTTTAGCCGCAATGCACGTTGGGATATGGTGTTTATGCAATGTGAAATCCGAAAACATTTAAAAAAAAAATAATAATACTTTATTCCGAGTGTTCTTGCTTTTCTCTTTGGAAGTCATCACATAACGGCATTGTAATACACGGTTCGGCTGCATTACATATTACACATCTGCCGTAGTTCTTTATTTATAGAGCCCTGATTAGAAGACGTCTGGACAAACAGGAAGAAGTGCCGCCGAAACTGAATATGTGACGTGAATCATAAATATATCAGCAATTACACAACATTAATTCGGCTGACTTTTATATTTGATCCAATTGGTAGATAGGTTATATTTACACCATAACGGTGCACAGCTGATAGAAAGGGACACCTAGTGGTTAAAAAACGTTATTGAATTTCTTTTGTTGAAATTATGTTATATTTTGTTGAAATTATGTTATATTTGATGAAAAAAATATTAAGAGTACATACTTTCATAGGGGGAAAGTAGAAGGTCAATGATAGAAATATAGAATAGAAAATATCAAGAAGATACTGTAGTGATCTCTACAATAAAACAGTTTAGTGCAGGACGTCCAAAGATATTAATAGGAGGATGTGCAAAACAGACAAACTAATAAGGCTTTATTTAAACATTAAAGAATACTTTAAGTTAAGGTCTTCTTTTGAATAAGAAAAAAAACGTTGGGGGTATCCACAGATAAATATTAAGTCTGACAAAGTACCTTCCCTGAATTTGACTCAGGTGTAACTAAAGTCTGATTTAAGGGTTGTTTATATTTCACATCATTAATCAGAATCTGCAAAGTAACTAAAATAAATGTAGTGGAGTAAAAATACCAGGTTAACCTCTGAATTGTAGTGGAGTAGAACAAAGTAGTACATGCTGCTGTAACAAAAACATTTCCCAATGGGATCAATAAAGTATATCTTATCTTATCTTATCTTAAGATGATCGATGGCTACTGCCATATTTGCAAAATGTGCCTCTGAACCTATACAAGTGCATGTTTCAGGCTTATCAATGAACAACAGGAGGGGTCACAGACATAAGACCAGCTGTTAAATAAAGCTCTTCTGACCTTAGCTGCCATGTGGGTATATTAATGCTGCCCATTATGGACACAAGCAATTTTCACCCATTTATTAATTATATGTTTTAAATGTGATAACACCACTGTGTTTCGTATCCCCTAAACCTCCAGGGTATACACAGTTTAATACTGGCAACTCCTAATTGTGGGAAATACGAAAACGTCTTATAAAACTACAATTCCCAGTAGAGACGTGCCATAGCACATGTTGCGAAACACACAATAGCCAGCATGTGTAGTTCTGGGGGGGGGGGGCCCGTCCAATTCCAGTTTTGTCATAGTCTGCCGTGGTTCCATTCCATTTCAAAGAGCTTTTTGACGCTCGGCGTAACCTTGTCGCACTGCCACTCCAACATCCAATCACAGGGCTTGAGAACTAATCACTAATCGCCTTGTAAAGCAAGGCGGATGTTGTAGTCCCAAACGATAGCTGGGGATTCTGGGTAGTGTAGTGTCTTCGGAAACTGTAGTGTCTAAACTCCAAAAAAACTATTTGTTTCTCCGAATCGAAGGTTAAAAACACAAAAGCATTGTACACAATTTAAACCAATCAATATTGTGTAGTTAACAAGGATAAACTGATGTTTTTTAGTGGATGAGTAATGCAGATATCACTGTGTAATAATTTGACAGTGAGGGGAATACATCCGGTTTTATTATGAAAACTTCGAGACCGGAAAAACTGTTTTCACCCCGTGAGGGTTGACGCTAACTTTACATATACACGTTATCCTGGCGAGACCTCAAATCATCTTCGTAATATCTATCAAACTATAGATCCTACACATCGACTGAACGTGGATTCTTCGAGTACAATATACACTTCTCGCTAGAAATCGAATCAAAAAGCATTTTAATGGCCAAACTATTCCACAATTTAGGATTTTCCAGAGAGGGTTATTTGTGAATAAACGTCCCTCCGGAGCGTTTGCAACAGGAGCATGTTGTTTCTTACACGACCACTAGAGCACCTCTAGTGGTCGCGTAAGAAACAACATACACTTTAAAACGTGTCTCTGGGTCGTAATAAGGGCTTGAACAATCGGCCTATATGGACGTTTTTTGTAGGAGGACAGGCTGATTTGGAAATGCACAATCCAGCTAACTGATGGTTGAGCTGTTATAGTGTTTGGACGTCATCCATTCATTCAAAATGACCTTCTCTTACCTTTTATTTGTGCAACTGAGTGCTGCAGTGTAAATTGATTTTATCCCAAAATGTGTGCCATTATCCCTATTTGTACCATGTATGCACCTCACCCCTCTATAGCCGTTTTTTTCGCGTTTGATGCTTTTCATACCTGGCTAAAAAAAACGAATTTGCACCTACCCTGAACTTCAATTACCCACTAAACTAATGTAAGCATTTTTTCCTCAGATGCTTTGACTTGAAATGATGCTGCTTAAAAAAAACACAATATCAGTGTCTTATGAGGAAATGTGTGTTGATGGTCAGGATGCTGAAGGCAGACAAACTGTGAGGACATCTGGTGAGCAGGTGGGATATGACGGTCCATGGGTAGATCTATAAAACAAGATACGCTAACTCTTCAGAAAAGCAGCATTGTACAACATTTGTTTCCCGGACTGGCACCTTGTCTGTCTGCATGATGGATGCTATGGCTGGGATATAATAATAATAATAATAATAATAATAATAATAATAATAATAATAATAATAATAATAATAATAATAATAATAATAATAATAATAATAATAATAATAATAATAATAAGTTTATTTATTATAGCACCTTTCACAGAAATAGATTTCAGAAAGTGCTTCAAGAAGTAAGAACAAAAGTAAAAATTAAGACCACAGAAACATAACAACCTGGTCTCACCAGAATGCGTGACTCCACCAATACCCCTTTCACACCAACGCAACTCCGGTTCAAGCTCCGTGCTAGAGCTTTTCAGGTTCGGAACCGGTACTTCGGTTTAGCTCCGGCTCTTTTCACACCGCTCAGAGACCGACTGGTGCTGCCGCTGCTGCGTCATGACGTCACAGTTTACGTCGCTGATTTTCTCGCCAACGGAGCTCACCTCACAACAACAACGGGCCGGGGACTGCGTTGCTTTTAATCATACGAAGCCAGATTAAATTAAATAACGACTTCTCCAACCTTATACTTTTCTCCAGAGTGCCGTGGTTCATTGTTTATTAATGTGTTTCAGCGGCATTTACCGACCGCTGCAGCGCTGACTGCTCTTCAACAGGAGTGTATTCTCCCGTTAGCTCCGGGTTAGCTCACACGGCTCTAAAGTATTCACTGTCTGACTGTCACACAAGCAGCTGTTACATATCCCCAGTTCCCCTTAAGTGAATGTGTGTCAGTCTGAATTGACGCTGTTTGGTGTCAGTCTGAATTGACGCTGTTTGGCATCACAACGCTGTTATGAAAGTTTCTCTGGTATAACATGGGTGATGTTAGCATAGCAACCGAAGCTAAACTGACTACTTGCTAAGCCGTTTTATACAGGCACTTTTTACCGACGTATTTTTCATTATGATTCTACTTGTGATAGTCGGACATGACAACCTGTGCAGCCCATGTATTGATTCCATCCGATAGCTGCTATAATAACAAACAAAACGTCTGCCTGCTCTCCACAATGATCAATAACAGCGAACGGATGGTCAAAGTAAGGTACAAATAAACAGAATCACACGAAGCCTGGTTAGT